TTCTTGATGCGTGTTACTGTTTTTTGTTTTTATGTTGTTAAGTGCTATCAAGTCAGTTCTGACTCATGGAGACCTTGTATAGGATTTCAAAGGAGTGGCTGGTGAGTTTGAACTGCTGACCTAGTGTTTCAAACTGACCTTGCAGTCTAGTGCTTTATCCCACAGTGCTACACCAGGATTGTTTTACAGTTCCTTCTATTATTTTGCTGAAAGGTAGCCTTAGGGAGTATCTTCATTTTCAAGTTAGAAGATTGTCTCAGGGCAATAGTCTGAAGCATTCCTTTAGTATCTTTTAGACTAGTAAATAAACTTCTCTAATTCCTTTGTCAAGGATTAACGAAACAATTTTGTTTTGCATGATTTGTTTTTGTATTTTCATGAAAGAAAATAATATTTGTTTCTATACTTACTCCCTATGGACTTTTGAATTATAAACTTGTTAGTACATTTGATGTCAGTATAAAGTCAGTCAAATTTAGGAAATCTCCAAAGTTTAGATAAAACAAGGACTAAGCATCATAGTACAAATATTTCAAAATCAATAGCATTGCTATATTTCTTTAAGCAGTATATATTATTTTCTGCTTTATAAGTAACCAACTAATTTGCTTTATTTCTTTATTGGTATTTCTGTTATAAGCATGTATTTTCATGAAAATTAGTTGTCTTTCTCATGTATAGTTTGATCATATGGTGATCATTATGCTATGTAAGACATGTATCTGTTGTTTGAAATTTTTTTTGATACTATTCAGTCAAAAAAAAAAAAGTCATAACCTGTTTGTACATACAACAGAGGTCAGTCTCAAAAACATAGTGACTGAAAGAAGTTGTATACAATAATATACATTTTACAGTAGATGAAATTATAGGAAAGGCTAATCTATAGTGACCAAAATCCAATCAGTGGTTGCTGGGGTGACAGACATTGATGATGAAGAGACCTGAATAAACTTTTTGGGGTGATGGAATTCCTTTTGATTGTGATATATATTTATTAAAACTGAAAACCTATGTTTATAATTGATTAATATAATTTCATGTACATTATGTCTCATGGTTCTTAAAAGATCATATTGCTTCAGTATTCTAATATAGCATTTTCAGTATTAGTTTAAATATAAGCATCTTCAGAAATGGTTACATATTTTTGATAATAAGAAACGCTAGAACACAGAAATTCAAATTAAAATGATGATATTGTTGTTAAGTGCCATCAAGTCAGTTCGACTCATAGAAATCCTGTATAAGATTTCTGAGGAGCGATTCTTGGGTTTGAACCACCGACCTTGTGGTTGAAATCAAATCTCATGTTCTAGTGCTTATCCTTCAATGTCATGTCAGGACTCCAAGGTGATGTTGTTGTTAAGTACCCATCAAGTCGGTTCCGACTCATAGTGACCCTGTGTAGGGTTTCCAAGGAGCAGCTAGTGGGTTTGAGCTGCTGATCTTGTGGTTCACAGTCCAGTGCTGATCCAATAGCACCACATCAGGAGGCCAAGATGATATTAGCACCAGATTACACTCAAAGAGTAGCCTGTGTCATGGGAGATTTTAATAGGTTTTACCAGAATTTTAATTTTGGTCTTAACTTGAGATGCACATTTTGAGGATATATATGGGGATCTCCTTGGAGCATCCTGCCTAATTACTCATCAGCCCTATTTTTAGCAGTTTTTTTCTCTTGTTACATGAACATCTATTCAGTTGTCTAAACTTATCTTACGGTTTTGTTAAATCATGACTTTTTAATAAAATTATACACAGCTTACTATGTCATGGTGTAAAATGTTACCTTACTCAGTTACATTCACGTTTCTTTTATTGAACTTTCATAATTTTCTTTGTATCTTTTCTTAGCCAGGTCTCTTCCATAAGGTGTTAGCACTTGGAAATGTTTCCTTTTTTTTTTCTCCCTTTTTATTCTCAGTATTCTAACATCTGCTCTCACTATTTTACCCAAAAACCGTGATTTTAAAAGAATACTAAACTGTGGATTGCTAACTGCAACAGCATACTTTAGGAGTCCTGGTTTGGCACTGTAGGATAACCACTGGACTGCTAACTACAAAGTCAGTGTTTCAAATCCACCAGCTCCTCCTTGGGAATCCCATGCAGAATTGCTATGAGTCGGAAACAGCTCGACAGTACTTAACTGCAACACACAATTTTAGGCATATATCAGCTTGTCTTACATTCAGTGCCATCTGACCTCTCTGCATTTGAGCTTATTGATTTCCTCTTTTTAATCATATTCATAACCTCTGGGGCATTTTATACATTTGTTCACTTTTTATTCTTTTTTTGGTGACTTTATTTTCTAACTATTACTTTTCCAGGTGATTGAATTCTTATAACTCTGAGGTTGGGTCCTTATATCTTTATCTTTATTCACAACATTTTGAAGCTTTTACATTTTAATGATTGCCTTTATTTCTAGGCTTCTTGGCTTTGAGATCAGTGCACAGCAGTCAAATTAGTCCCTCTATCTTCATCTCTTGTTTATTCCTGTTTATTATGCTTAATCTTAATTTTTTTACCTTTTTAAATGCTGTTTTGTTATACTATGGTAAGAAAGTGTATAAATGCCTTCTTTTCCTTATTTTTATTTTATTTTAAAGTTTTTATTGTGAATTGAATGAAAGTTTTTATTTTAAAGTTTTTATTGTGAATTGAGTGAAAGTTTACAGGGCAGATCATCAGTTTTACATTCAACAAATCATATACTTTGTTTTGTTAAAATAACAATCCCCTCCATGTAGCATCATTTAACAGTATTTCTCTGTATTCATTTTAGTGCTTTTTTGTTTTAAAAAACACTCAGGCATATATAATAAAATTTATACCACCAAAGGGCACATTCTGCAAGTCTGCCTCCTGGCCACCAGCTCTCATTCCCTCTCTTCCCATGAATCTAGAGTCCTCAGCTGCTCCCTCTCTCCATGTCCCCATCTCTGACTCCATCTCTGGTGTTGCTGCTTTTCTGGATAAGGTCCCTCATTCCACTAGTGCTCTTCTCCCTTGATGGTCCTAGGGTCCTCTGTTTCTGGACTGTGAGATTAATTACTTCCCTGTTTATGTTACAAAACTTCTACCTTTACAATTGTGATGGTCACAATTAGTCATTATAACAATGACTCACTATTGAATCATAAGAATCTTATCCCCATCTCTTTTCACCAGACCCATGTAGACAAGATGAAAACTATTCAGTGGGTACTCTACCTTCCCTCACGCAATCTTAAACTAAACTACCTCTTGAAAACTTGTACATCTGTCACTTTGTAGCTTTATCACCTCCTCATTTCAAATAGCCAATGTCTAAGTTGCCCATCCCTATCTACCCTGTGTACAGAGGGGATAGCATTGATACTTGATGTGAAGACTCTTTCCCTCTCTGTTGGTATTTAGAGCTAACACCTCCATGAGTCTGGTGAGGCACTATGGGCTAATTCGTCAGACTGCAAAGTCATTTGAACTGCAAGGACAGAGGTTCAAGCTCACCAGCTGCTCCTTGGAAACCATTATAGGGTCTGTATAGGTTGGAATCGATGCGACAACATTTAACAACACAAACAACAACCTCTCTGAGTCTAGGCCAAGGTCATCAAATTGTAGCAATTTACCCTCATTTCCTTTATCAAAAATTGTGGTTATTTATTTTTTATCTTTCTCTAGTCGAGTTCTGATTATCGAGCCATTGAGGCTAGATCAAATGGGTACTATATGCAAGTTTGGGTGTTCTAGTGCATCTTCCCTCACTTTATATCAGCTGGATGCTTCAATTTCAGCTCTAGCCCCCTGTTGCTATGTCCTTGTCTATGGCTCAGGTGTCCCCAGGTCTCACCACACTTTGGACCAGCAAGCCCTTCCTCTTCTCGCTCTCATCTCCAAGTCAACGGGAGTCTGTGGAACATGGTTGAACTCAGCCCATTTCTTCATTTCTCCCTTTCCCCATCTTCTACTCACCAGTAGACTGATGTGATCACCAGCAAGCAAACATGCCTGCTCATGTGTTCCCTTTAAGTTTCAGTCTTAGAGAGGGGCTTGTCCTGAAGGGACTTGATTGCGTGCCTTGATGGCTTCCCGGGGAACAACTTGCTTATTCTTGTATTAGCCAATCATACTGCCATTTTTCTTTTGGGTTTTCCTGCTGATCTTTATTTGAAGCCTCTGTTTATTTTATGAACTCAGACACTTAGCCTTTGTAGCAACTAACTATGTTGGATATTGTTTTGGTGTCATTGAGTCATTTCCAACTCATAGTGACATTAATAGGGTTTCCAAGGAGTGATTGACTGGTAGGTTTGAACTGTCGACACTGCAGTTAGATATCCAGTGCTTATCCTACTGCACCACCAGGACTCTGTAGCTAGCTAACTCACCTTTTATTGCCAACCTTAAATCCATTGCCGTTGAGTTGATTCCGACTCATAGCAACTTTTTACACAGTTTCTAAAGCTCTAAGTCTTTACAGGAGCAGGAAGCTTCATTATTCTTACTCACAGCAACTGATGGGTTTTAACTGCCAACCTTACATTCAGCAGTCCAATGTTTATCCTATAGCATCACAGAGATCCTTTATTCAGTAACTTAACATTTCTATTTTCTAACTAAAGCAGGTGCTGCTGCTTTAGTTAGAAACCATACATGCTGAACCTGAACAAAATATAACCATATGAAATGTATTTTAAAAGGTTGTTTCAAAGTTGGTAGTTAAAGACTATACTTTTTTATAATTAAATGAATTTAATGTCATTTTACAGTTTATGCTTGTCATATTAAATTGTTTTATTGTTAGTAACAAAGTTACTACCTATTGATTGTTAGTAGTTATAATATAACAGGAAAACATTATACTTTGAGTTGTGTATTACTGTGTTCATACCAGATCATTGCTTTTTGAAGGTCAAGTGTTGAAATTTACTTTTTTCTTTTAAGGATAAAGGCTTTTTAGAACTATAAGATAAACATATGAAAGCTCTTTGTTTAATTTCTAGGCTCCATTTTTTGTCTGGGGAGGGGCAGTGGCTCCATCATCTTTTTCTCCTCGAGGACATTATGAGCATTACCACGCTATTTTTGATCAAATGCAGCAGCAAAGAGCAGAAGACAATGAATCTAAGTGGAAAGGGGAAATACATGGCCGAGGACTTCAAGAAAGGTATGGCTTAGGTTCTGCAGAAGTTGCTTATGCTTTGCTTCAGCAAAAATAATGAAAGTCACTGTGCATATTTATCTACAGAGGAATTTCACCTGGAGTAATTCCAGGATTTCCTAACGGGGCTGCAGGTCATCACCATTTCCCTGATGTTGATGCTATTAGAAAAACTTTGCAAAGATTGAAGGCCATGTCTAAACAAGCCAATGCAAACAGGTTGGAGTGTGATTCAGATCCGTGAATTCATCCTTATGTGTGATTTTTGTCATATGTATACCTTAATACCTTCACTTTCTAAATGTTTTCTCCATTAATTACATACGATGTTTTTTGACTTCTGAATACAATAATTTTTCTTAGGTGCAAATTTGGCACTTTGATTGCATTGTGGCCTTCATGTGGTTCTTCAATTCAGTTCACTTTTTCTGACATATTTATGTGTTAGAGGCTAAATATATTACTTCTGTACATATTATATATAGCAGCACATAACTGGCAGCTAACATATGGTTGTAATAATTTCATCTACTTGCTTTAAATAAATCAGAATATAAGTTTAAATGAAGTCATACTTTATACAAAACTCCAAACTTGTTTTTTTGTGTGTGTCCTTTATCACTTAGAACTCATTTTTCTTTTGTTGTGTGAATATATTTTCTTTTCTTAATTCATCTTTAATTTAGATTTCTGTGATCCTATTAATCAGATTTTCCGTTTTCTACATTAATTAGTTGAATAATGATAATTGTTAGTATTAGTGGCTGACATTTGCATAGTTCCTTTTCAAGTATGCATATATGTTTTCTAATGCATTCTAATATTTGCTCTATAAAACATATTGGTGAGTTAAGGGGAGTAGATTTCTGTTTTGTGGAGAATTTAGATACTTTGCCCTTTGAGTTTTATAAAAATCTATGATTCCTCTCAATTATAAAAGATGGTTAAAATGTAGTTGAGCAGAGGTATATAATTGGAGTTAGTATAAGTTGAAATTATGTGTAATTTTTAGACTGTTATCTGCAGTAGCCTGAAGTATTGAGCTAATTGTAGATTCTTTTCATTTTTGAGAAAGAAAGGCTGCAGATTTACGCATATACATGTTTTTGAATAAATGAGGAAGTTAATTTTTTATAAGGCTTTTATTATCCTCTGGTATTATTGACCTTTGTAGTATTTATTTTGGTTTTATTTTCATCATAATCTGGAGTCCTGGCATGGCTATAGGGTAAGCACTGGGCTGCTAACCGCAAGGTTAGTAGTTCATATTCCTTGGACATGCTATTCGGTGTCACTATGAGTTGAAACTGACTTGACAGCACTTAACAACAGCTCATAAAATGAATGTGTATATAGTTGGGAGGTATAGATAGATCACTTTGCAGGCAACCATTTGGCCTTTAGTCTTGTCCCTGAGAGCCTGGGGGCCTGATACTAAATCTTGTGGTGCAGTTTTGATCTTGTGATAAGGCAAATAAAGCTCTTGGAAGATAGAGGCTTGGAGAATCTCCTGGTTAGTGGTCATGCATGGGAGAAGGTAGTGCACATTTCTTTAGCACATGAAGCTCTGTTCTGCGACCCCTCCCAGAACTTACCCTGTTCATCTCATCATTTTTATCTTTTTTTGTTGTTGTTGTTATATTAAAGCTGTTTTTAAAGGTGTGGTGGTGGTGGTCGTTATGTGCCACAAAGTCAGTTCCAACTCATAGAGACCCTGTGTAGGGTTTCTGAGGCTTTAAATCTTTATGGGAGCAGAAAGCCTCATTTTTCTCCCACGGAATGCTTGTTGGTTTTGAACTGCTGACTTGTAATCACTATGCTACCAGAGCTCCGTCATTAAAGGAATGTTTTTGTTGCCAAGTGCTGTGGTGTCATTTCTGACTTATAGCAACCCTCTATAGGGTTTCCAAGGAGCGGCTGGTAAGCTTGAACCACCTACCTTGCGGTTCAAAAGCAACATTGCAGTCTAGCGCATTAACCCACAGCACCACACCAGGACTCCATTAAAGGTATAGTGTCTCCCTTTTTTTGTCATGAGAGGGATAGTAGGCCCAGTTTTTTTGGGTCCCTTTTTGATTTGCTTGTTTTTAATTGCTTTTTCTAGACCTAACCAATCAATCAGAGCATTCTGTGGTCTGAACTCAATTAAGTTGCACTGTATTGGTGTAGCTCTTAGAACTTGTTAATTTGTTGTCAGCTGTACTTATTTTCATTTTCTTTCATGGTGTGTAGTGTAAGGACAGAGGCACTAGGTTAGGCTGCAGATCTTTTCTAGTGGCACTGGAGATTCTAGGAACTGTGTTATACACTACTTCAGAACTTTTGTTTGATTAATGACAGACTAGAAGGGAAAACCTGGTGATGTATTTCCAGAAATTCAGCCAGTGAAAACCCTGTTGATCAGAATGGTTTGATCCCACTGTGCATGAGGTTGCCATGTGTCAGGGGCCAAGTCAATGGCGGCTAACAGCAGCAACTACAATAATTATAACAACAGATGTGTGAATATTTATTTGCATTTTATTACTTAAAATATTTCTATTGAACTGTTGTTCTTGCATTTGTTTAAACCTCAAGTCAATAAAACTCTCTTAAAAATTGTTAATTTCAGAGCAAAACTAATTTGACAGAAAAACTGCTAATTTGGTGATTATTCCTATCACCAGCATTAATTACTACTTAGTTTTTAATTATGACTCAAATATAATGTTGTTATTTAAAATTTTGTGATTAGACTATTTAAAATATTAACTATAAAAATCATAGTTAGCTTCGTTTTTGCTTTAAAATGATTTATTTTGTAACAAGCCACAGAATAGGGCTTGGTAAACTATAGGGACACTGGCCAAATCTTGCCTACTACCTTTTTTTGCTATGTGTCATTATTTAATAAGTTTAAAAATTTTTTTAAAGCTTAAAAACTTAAAAAATATTTTCTGACATGTAAAAATTGTGTAACATTCAAATTTCAGTGTGTATGCTCGTTATGGTTCAGTACTGACTTGGTGGCACCTAACAACAACAAAGTAATGTTTTACTGGAATTAAAGCCACATTCATTTATGTATGTATTGTCTACAACTGTTACAATGGCAGAGCAGATTGCAACTTGCAAAACCTAAAACATTTACTATCTGCCCTTTCAGGAAGAGTTTTGTGTTTCTCAGAAAGAGATGAAAATATTTAAGTCAAAAATTCTGTTGAGACTTTAGCAATACAGCTTAATATAATTCTAAAATTTCTGGTCTGACAGTCAAGTTGTCCAAAAATAATGAGGCTTATATTTCTACTATTTCAGTTTATGAATTGTTAAAATGAAATATTTAAATTATTTTATTCAGTATTAAGGGGAAAATGTGAGGCTTTCTACTCATGTAAAGATTTACTGCCTTAGAAACCCTATATTAGTTTACTTTGAGTAGAATGGACTTGACATCATGCAGTAGTGGCAGCATTCGATATTATATGTGGAATAAACTGCTTGAGAGTATCCAAATTCATAGACATGTGAATTAGACCTAACAGAAATTTTAGGATATAACTTTCCCTGCATGTTTTAATAAATTATTTCCTTATTTCCTAAGATAATAAGGATAAAAATATTTATACTAAGCCTACAGTTTATGAAAGGATTTATACATAACCACAAGTTAGGTTGGTCAGCATTATATCTGAATGTCGTATGAATGGTTCCTTTGTAACAAAATTGTTTAAACTTTTGAAGCCTAATTTTTTAGGTTGTTGTTGTTAGGTGCCATCGAGTCAGTACTGACTCATAGGGACCTTACGCACAACAGAACGAAACACCACCTGGTCCTGGGCCAACCTCACAATTGTTGCCACGCTTTGAGCCCATTGACGCTGCCACTTTGCCAGTCCGTCTCGCTGAGGGATTCCTCTTTTGCTCTGACCCTTGACCTTACCAAACATGATATCCTTCTCCAGCGACTGATCACTCCTGACAATATGTCCGAAGTATGAGAGACAAAGTTTGGCCTTCCTGGCCTCCAAGGAGCACTCTGGATGCACTTCTTCCAACACAGATCTGTTGGTTCTTTTGGCAGCCCATGGCACTTTCAATATTCTCCTCGAACACCATAACTCAAAAGCATCAATTCTTCTACGGTCTTCCATATTCACTGAGCATAGTGGACCTGGTCAAAAATGGCAAGTTTTACCACTCTGATTGCTATTCTACCTGGATGCTTCATTTCATTGCCACTCACTGCCTCATCTTCAGTCAGCCTGAATTTCAGGATCTTTCAATGGAAAAACGCAGTTTTGTTGAAAAGCACAGATGGTGATTGAATATGTACTTGAAACAGCTTGCGGTGTACAGGAAATATATTCACTCCCGGAAATGTCGCTACTTAATAATGTAACCTGGAGCTTTTATATACATACTCTTTCTTTAAAAATTATTATTAGATATAATGGGATGCCAATGGGTTCCAGTAAAATTCTCATGACAAAACAATATGATTGTTTAAAAATATATATATAACTGTGCAGCTTTATGTGATTTCTAGTTCTCGGTGAATAAACAAAACTATTGTCCTAAAAGGGAACAAGTATACTGTAGGCTAGAACTAAGGCTTTAACCCACTGTATAAAGTTGTTTTAAGCTACTTTTTCCCTTTAAGAACATGTTGCTTTAGTGACACTAAAAACTCCCCATTAAGAAATGTTTAAATTTTTTAAATCATGTAGGATTAATGCAGAAATGGTGCTGTAGGTTAATGCGCTGGACTGCAAAGTTTTTTGAACTATTAAGGTCAGTGGTTCAAACTAACCAGTTGCTTCTTAGAAACCCTATACTGGGTTGCTATGGGTCTGAACCAACTCCACGGCACTTAACGACAACAGTTACTCTATTAAAACAAGGGGCATTTAAGAGCCAGTATGACTTTTTATAATGAGGAATCAGTGGGAAGGCTGCTTAGATTTTAGGATAGAAATTTGCCAGGGATTTTGAAAGTGAAATGCCACTTAATTCGAAATCATTGACAGTATTTGAACCATCATGGGGAAAAAACTTTGTTTTTCATAGTGGACAAGCCAACTGAATCACCTTGTTTCTTCCCTGGGATTCTGATTAGTCAGGAAATCTAACCTAGCTGACTGCATAGGTCTGTAGTCTCTGAGTTTGGTTCAGTGCTACACTGTCACAGTCTTGATTTTCTTAATAATGCTTGAACACGAAACCCTGAGTTTCACTTT